TAGGGATAGTTCTAAAGATAACAAATGGGATATTACAAAACTGTTAATAATTATAATCACATTATGAAATGACTAAATTTTGATCCCTGAAATCCTTAGTACCAATGTTCACTTTGTCTGGTTTTGTTGCAAGCATGTCCCATATATAAATAATATGCAAACTCAATTGAATTTGATCAGCAAAATTAACCAATCAGACAAACTTCTGCCTATGACACAAACTTTTTGTCCAAGTGTACGTGTAACATTAAAAAATCCGCAGCGATTAATTTTTTAATATTAATATAAAAAAAATGAGTAAAAAAAAAATTTGATAATAAAATAATAATATTAATAAACAAATGTCATCCAGTAAAGTTTTCATTATTAATGCATTAGAAAATATTGGCTCGAGCAAAGAAGGAAAAAGGAATAAAAAGTTAAAAGAGAGTATTAATAAGGCTTTGGGTAATTAAAAGTTCGAGATCGCGTAAAAAATTTATCGCACTTTTATTAAAAGATTTTAACATTTTGCTTTTCAAAAATATTCAAATTTTGTTATTATAATAATTTATCAAGAAACAATAAAAAATGAAGAATCAGATAAGAAAGGGTATGTATATATATTATTTAATATAACAATTATTATAATTATAATTATAATTATAATCATTGACTTTAATGTATTGTTTTAGTGATGCAGTAATAATATTTGAACCACTTCAAATTGCTTGTCAGACAAGAGTAATAAATATTATGATAATAGCTTTAGATTGTATAGGAAAACTTATTTCATACAATTATTTAATTGAATCAAATAATGAAGAATCACCAATTGAAAATGGCGAAGAAGATAATAATAATGCTGAACAAAAGCAGTAATAAAATTTATATATGGTAAAAAGAAAGAAGGTGTTGTTAAACCTAGTATAAAGACTAGATCTAAATCAAAAAAAAATAAGTGTGATTATTTATTTTTAATTATGAATTTGAACAACTATACTGATTGTATTCACTTCTACTAAAATATTGTTAGCAAATTCATATTTTTTTTTTTTTTGACAAATTGAGGGTTTTTGGTTATTGATTTTTTTTTATATATACATATGTATGTTTGCATATATTATCATAAATAAAATCAATTAAAGTTGACAAAAATTACAATTAAATAAAGATACATTATTCAATAAATTCAACAAGTGATAATTAGTAATTCATGTTCCATTTTTTATGTTAATAGATAATCAAATGAATTTATCCTTTTGCTAAGATTGAATAATTAGGATCTGTGCCTTTAAGAGTTTTAGCC